GCCCCACATCCACCCTCCAATATCCCCCAAGCCCCAGCGCGCTCACACACAGCCAGTGACCCCACCTGCAGCTGGAGCCGAGACTCCCCTGACCCACACCTCAGGCTGCTGTCCCTCCCAGCAACCCCTCCCCACTTCACGGGGTGCACCCGGCCTCCTCTGGCTCAGCCTCAGTGCCCTCGGAAGCCCTCCCAGCCCCCGTGTCTCAGGCCCTTCCCCCCTCTCTCGTGACCCCTCCACACCCTAACTCTGGGCCACAACCAGATCCCCTGCCCGTCAAGGCCCCGGTGCCACCCAGGGTGACTGCTGCTGCAGCTTAACCCCCAGTGGGCAGGCTCAGCGCAGCCCAGAGGGGGGAGGGGCCGGCAGCAGGAGAGCCAGCCCCATCCCAGGACCTGCAGCCCCGCACTCGCCCCAGCAAGAGGCAGCAGCCCAGCCGCACACAAGGACGAGGCTCAGGGGCTGACCACCAGGACGGCTCAGTGGGCGCTGCCGGGGTGGGGGGCCGGGCCTGCCTTGGAGCCCTGTCCGCCTGGAGGTCACCTTCACAGGACACCGCCGCCTTGGCCTGAGCTAGACCACCTGCCTCCCTCTGATGCCTGTCCCCATGGTGACCACCCGGCCCTCCCAGTGGCTACTTGTCTGGCGAAGGCTTCCCGACGCCCAGGGCGAGGGGCTCCCCAGCACCGTCCCAACCTCCCAGGCTGCTCTGGGGCAGCAGACACATGCCCCCAGGTGGCCCATTGGAGACACAAAGGCGAACCCAAAGGGCACGAGGTAGGCTGGGCGCTGGGTCCCTCGCTCGGGAGCCACCAGAGAGCAGGGGCCGCGGCTGGTCGGGGGCGGTTTTCATATACATGTGGGCCCGGTGGGTCAGCTGGTGAATTCCGGGGACTGAAGGAGGGGTGACTGCGCCCCAGGACTCACACAGGAGGTCCCACTCCGAGGCGGAGACGTCCAGGTTCTTGACGGCAAAGGGGCCGACCAGGGGATGCGCTGTCCGCCCTAGGAAGCAGGAGGGACGCAGCCTGGTGGGCGGGCCTGCCAGGGCCAGAGGGCGGACCGCCCCGGGGCTGCTGCGCTGGCCTTGGGCCCTCGGGACCTTTGATTCATGTGACGTACACGGCGCCCTCAGGCCGGCCTTAGGCCCCAGGCTCTGAGCACTCACAGGCTGTGACCCGAAAAGGGTGCGGGTGATGTGGGCTCTCTGACTCCCCCCACATGTGCACACACATGGCCCACCTGCATACACACACATGCACACACATGCACAAGTCTGTTTGGTGGAGGAAGAGCTGGGTCCTTCCTCCTCTCCTCCCCTCCCCGGGCGCACGGAGGAAGCCACCGTCTCTCACACTCATTCACAGCCACAGCCTAAAAAAGCTGAAGGAGCAGGTGGGGGTGGGAGGCCCTGATGTGGGGAGGTTCACACTCTTCTCACAGACACACACACACACACACACAAAACCTCACTCACCTCTGCACACTCAGATTCAGTCACCTGCACTCACACACATGGACACGTGCTCACAGTCTTAGTCACATACACACACTCACGCCCAGGCTGGCCCCGTGTGTGAGGAGGGAGCTGAGGGCGGCAGTGGGCAGCCCTCCCGCCTGCTGCCTGGGCCGTAGCCACTGCGGTGTGGGACCCAGGTGGCCGTCCTACTGCCCGCCCGTGTGTCAGGCCCTTGCCCCCAGCCCTGGCTGTGCCTGATGGGGGTGCAGGGGTGGGAGGCCCGCCTGACCCCCCTGAGAGAAGCCACTCGTGAGCCTCAGCTCCCCACATCTGCCTCCCACCTCCACCTGCTCCCACCTCCCCCCCAGCCCCTTCTAGAAGACACAGAAGGGCGGCAGTGGGCAGCCCTCCCGCCTGCTGCCTGGGCCGTAGCCACTGCGGTGTGGGACCCAGGTGGCCGTCCTACTGCCCGCCCGTGTGTCAGGCCCTTGCCCCCAGCCCTGGCTGTGCCTGATGGGGGTGCAGGGGTGGGAGGCCCGCCTGACCCCCCTGAGAGAAGCCACTCGTGAGCCTCAGCTCCCCACATCTGCCTCCCACCTCCCCCCCAGCCCCTTCTAGAAGACACAGACAGCGGCCTGAGCCCTGTGCGCTTGTGGGCTGCCGCCACCTCCAGGAAGTACCAGTAGTCGCTGCCCACCACGGCTGCCAGTGCACCCAGGGAGGCGGCCAGCCGGGTCATGGAGGGGTGCCAGCGATTAACTCCCGACTCCCCTCCCCTCCTGGCTCCCTCTACTCCCTGACACCCCCTTCTCCACCCCACCCCCCAAAATCGCTGCTGCTGGCTCTGCAGCGGCCAGGGCCTGGAGAGGGGGGCGCTTGCCAGGTGGCCCACTGGGGGCTCGGGTTCTGGGCAACAGGGGCATGAACAGTGAAAGGAGGGGTCATTCCCACAGCGGCGAGGGTGTGAGGCGGGTCCCTCTCAAGGGAAGGGGACAGCGGACCAGGCCAGGAGCTGCGCCGTGGGTGGAGCCGCGCAGGACAGGGACAGCCCACTGCACTCCTCCGGCTGGAGAGGGTCGGGCACTGAGGACCTCTTCCTTGTCTGTTTTGGGGAAATGTTGTAACCTTGTCATGTGCCCATCAGAGGGGGAGGACCTTCAACCGACCTCAAAGCAAGAGGCTGGCTTTACCCAAGACGCCAGTCCTCGCGTCCCTCCCAGCCCCTCGGGGCTCCACTACAGTCCCTCTGCAGCCTTGAAGGTCCTGATGACCAGGGGGGGAGACCCTGAACACACAGCACAGCCAGGCCTGGCAGGTGAGGGGTCACAGGACTCGCGAAGGGAGAGAACAGAGCACTGGGACACGGAAATGCACGCCATAGCTTAGGCTTAATGATGCAAAAGCACGTGAACTGGCATCCTTCATCCTCTACTCGTCCAGCAGCAAAGACCTATGATGTGCTCGTATAAATCTCAGGCTGAGCCGGAAACCC